GGGGAGGAGGAGGAGGAGGAGGAGGAGGAGGAGGAGGAGGAGGAGGAAAGGGGGGAGGAGGAGGAAAGGGAGGAGGAGGAGCAGGAGGAGGAGGAGGAGGAGGAGGAGGAGGAGGAGCCACCAGCGCCCCCCCCGCGCCGCGGCGGGCCACCTGGTGTCTGCGCTGGGCGCGCAACAAGGGGGGGATGGAGATTATAGCCTCGGAGGCGGAGGGGTATACATGGCTCGTTCCAGGAACCCGGAAGCCCAGCATGCCGGCGGCTCGCTATCAGTGCCGCCGCCGTTCGCAGGCCTTGCGCAGGCTTCCGCTGGATGGAGCCACCGGCGTTATACTTCTGGCGGCTTCCGCCACAGGCGAAGATGCGCCGAAGGCAAAAAGCCCTGTCTGGGAGCCCCTCTATATTGGGAGGTCAAACAAACAGTTTCTACGTCTTTATTCGTTTCAAAACCTCTGGACTATCAGCTTGGCGGTGTTGTATTATTCGGCCGCAGTATGGCCAAGACACACCCCGGAGCGCCCGCATAGTTTCAGCGCAGCAGCGGCTGCTCCTCATCATCCTCTTCCTCCTCCTCCTCTTCCTCCTCATCCTCCTCCTCAGTCCGCCTCCTTCTCCTCCAGCTGCGACAACGCCTCTTAGACGACGGCGGCGGTGACGACGACGACCTCGACTCGCCGATGACACCGAGGCCGACGACCCTTAGAGAGGCAGGACCGCCGTGAACCCCGCCGCTCCTTGGCCGAGAGCTTCGCGAAGAGCTCCCCGGAGCGCTCGGCGCAGAGCCCTTGGCAGCCTTGGGGGGCGGGGGGGGGGCGTTTGGGGGAGGAGGAGGAGGAGGAGGAGGAGGAGGAGGAGGAGGAGGAGGAGGAGGAGGAGGAGGAGAGGAGGAGGAGGAGGAGGAGGAGGAGGAGGGGGAGGAGGAGGAGGAGGAGGAGAAGAAGGAGGAGGAGGAAGAGGGAGACGAAGGAGGGAGGAGACAGAGAGAGGACCACGGAGGAAGGGAGGGGGAGGAGGGAGAGGAGTGAGAAGGTCCTCTGTCCTCCCCCCGCCCTCCAAAAGTCTTCTCCTACTCCCTCGTTATGTCCCTCCTCCTCCTCCTCCTCTTCTCTTCCTCCTCCTCCTCCATCTTTTCTAATGTAAAGAACGCCTCCCTGTCGAACCCCCAGACGTATTGGCAGGGCGGGCTGGGCGCTCCGCCTCATGATTCATCCTTGCGTATGACCCAAAGCTCGAATCTTGCAAAAGTTCCATGGATGGTGGGCGGACCGTTTTCAAAATGTGACTCTCGCATTAGCGCCGCGCACATTCGTCCCAAACGTCTGCAGCAGCTTAGCGGGTGGAGGGCAGGTCATTTGCAAACTGTGGCTCTTGCCTTGGCGCCGCATGCGCTCGTCATAAAATGCAGCAACCTGACGGATGGAGGGCACATCATGGATGCAGTGTGGCTCTCGCCTTAGCGCCGTGCGCATTCGTCATATTAGAGCGTGCAGCAGGTTCACGGATGGAGGGTACGTCACGCTCAAAGTGTGACTCTCGCAGTAGCGCCGCGCACGTCCGTTTTCAGTCACCCCCACGGTGAGGCTCCACGTGAGAATCCTTGCGGCTAGTCTGGAAAGGAGCCTCGTCGTCGTGCTCGTGATCGCTGAGGCTTTCTTCCTGCCTGACCTGCGGTCTGCGGAGGCTCTCGTCGACGATGATGATGTGGATGCTGACGATGATGATGGTGATGATGAGGATGGCGATGGCGATGGCGATAATGACGATAATGATGATGATGATGATGATGATGATGATGATGATGATGATGATGATGATGATGATGATGATGATGATGATGATGATGATGATGATAATGATGATGATGATGATGATGCTGATGCTGATGATGATGATGGTGATACTGATGATGCTGATGATGATGACTATGATGGTGATGATGGTGATGACGATGATGATGGTGACGATGATGATGATGATGATGATGATGATGATGATGATGATGACGATGATGATGGGGAGGAGGAGGAGGAGGAGGAGGAGGAGGACGACGACGACGAGCACAGGCGTGTGATGATGATGGTGAAGGTGTAAGTGTGGATGGTGAGTGAGTGAGTGTGCGGAGGGAGAAAAGGAGAGCAGGAGGAGGAGGAGGAGGAGGAGGAGGAGGAGGAGGAGGAAGACTGCGCGGGGCGTCCAGCGAAAACAAAAGACCCACTGTGGACGTGGGGGGAAATTCAACAGCTTTACGGATTGAGGCCGGTACCTTTCCAACATGTGACTCTCGCCTGAGCGCCGCGCACATTCGTCTGAAACGGTTGCAAAAGTTTCTAGGGTACGTATGGACGACGTTCCCGGAACTGCGTCCTGGCACGATTTAGGATTGACAGGACGCAACAGTTAAGTGGATCCGCAGTGCTGCAATTCCAGGAAATGTTCTGGATGACACAACAGTCATGTTGATCCGCGGCGCTGAAGTCCCAAAGACTATTTTGTTTGCACGGCCGAAGACTCCCAGACTGCTTCGAATGGACCACATCCCGCAATGGTATCAAGTTCTTTCAGGAACATGTGAAGAGAGAACTTGGAGGGATGGCCCATTGCAGCATCGTAGATGCGTGCTCCCGCGATGGGATCGCGCAGCGCGCGGGGACACCGCGCTGGAGGAGGGTGTGCGCTCGTGCGCACTGCTGGCGTGGTCAATATTTGCGCCGCGCACCGCGCGAGACCTGGTAATCCTCGCGCCTGCTCGTGCCAAGTAGGATGAGGAAGAGGAGGAGGACTAGGAGGAGGAGCATGAGGAGGAGGGAGACGATGAGGAGAAGCCTCCGCAGCCCCCTCCCAGAATAATAAGATGGCCAATGGATGGCCAACGTCGGTCGAAGGAGAAAGAGGAGGATGAGCGATTGTACACCGTGATGGTGGTTGTGATGGTGAGCAGGAGATGATGAGGAGGAAGAGGACGAGCACGAAGTTGAACAGGACGAGGATCAGGAGGAAGCTGATGATGCAAGGATCAGGGGGGGACATTTGTAGTGGTGGGGAGGAGGATGAAACTCATGATGGTGATGTGAAGGATTCGGATGATGACGATAATGAGGATGATGACGATGATGATGATGATGCTGTTCATGCTGATGATGAGGATATTGTTGAAATTGGTGGTGAGGATGATGATGCTGATGATGATGGCGATCATGATGACGCTGATGGCAATGATTATGATGCAGTTGATGATGATGCTGCTGATAATGATGGTGGTGGTGATGATGATGACGATGGTGATGCGGATGATTGTGATAATGCTGACGGTGCTAATGATGATGATGATGAAGAAGATGATGATGATTATGCTGATGATGATGATGCTGATGATGATGATGATGAAGGTGATGATGATGCTGATGATGATGCTGCTGATGATGATGCTGCTTGATGATTGACGGTGGTGGTGGACGATGACTGGCGGATGATGGCGATAACGATGACGATGACGATGGTGATCGTGAGTAGGATGATACATATACCGATGATGCTGATGATGATGCCGGTGATGACGTATGGATGATGGTTGTGCTGCAGCGGTTGATGATTATGGTGGTGGCGATGATGATTATGCTGATGATGCCGGTGATGATGATGGTGATGATGATGATGGTGATGATGCTAATGATGGTGATGATGATGCTGATGATGATGATGACGAAGATGCTGATGATGCTGATGAGGAGGATGAGGATAAGGTTGAGGATTCTGATGAGGATTATTATGCTAATGATGATGATGGGGCTGATGATGATGCTGCTACTGCTGATGATGATGGTGATGACTTATGCATGATGATGACGACGATTATGATGGTGATGATGATGCCGATGAAGATGATGATGTTGATGACGATGGCGATGACGATGATGATGCTGATGATGATGATGATGATGATTGATGATGATGATGATGATGATGATGATGATGATGATGATGATGACGATGACGATGACGATGACGATGACGATGATGATGATGCTGATGATGATGCTGATGATGATGTTGATGGTGATAATGATGATGATGATGTGATGATCTCGTTGATGATGCTGATCTTGATGCTGCTGATGATGATGAGAAGTAGAAGGAGAAGGAGGAGGAGGATCGGGAGCAGGAGCAGGAGCAGGAGCAGGCGCAGGTCGAGGAGGAGAAGGAGGAGGCGGCGGAGGAGAAGGAAGGAGGAGGAGGAGGAGGAGGAGGAGGAGGAGGAGGAGGAGGAGGAGGAGCGCACGTCCCCCGGCAAGGAGAGGGAGGAGGAGCAGGAGCAGGAGGAGGAGGAGGAGGAGGAGGAGGAGGAGGAGGAGGAGGAGGAGGAGGAGGAGGAGCGGCAGGAGGGGAGCGGCCCCTCCGGCTGCCGCGCGGGCGCAACCCGTCCTTCGTGGGAGCTGCCGCACTGCTCGGCGCAGTGCTGCCCCACGCACCTGGCGCTCGCGACGCTGCGGAAGGCCACGACCATCACGACAAACATCAAGAGGCCCGAACTGTAGAACGCAGCTGCGCGAGAGAATGAGAGTAAAAACTTGAGCGCCCCTCCCCCCCCCAATCACAGGCCCATTCGGCTGTGACCGTGTCTGGTCGCTCCGCCGATGACCCTCCAATAATTGGCCGTCCTGGGGCCACGGAGCGGCCCGAAGCGATCCCGGTCGGGAGGACCTGGCTCGAGGCTCGAGGCTCGAGGCTCGAGCCTGGAGGAGCACTGTCTTCCGGCGTCCCGCGGGGCCCCAGGACGGCCCCGCGCGGGGCGGCGAGGGCGGCGGCGGGGAGGGCGTGGATTTTTTTTGTTGGGGGGGCACGGCACCCCGCTCCTCTGCACGCCCGACTGCCCAGCTCGTTGACCTTGTGGTCGTTTTCTTACTCCCTGTCTTGCCGATCGGCGCGGGCCCTCGCAACCCCCTCCTCCTCCTCCTCCTCCTCCTCCTCCTCCTCCTCCTCCTCCTCCTCCTCCTCCTCCTCCTCCTCCCCCCCACGGAGTAGATCTTGGCCATTCTTGGCGCCTCCTTCGAACGGAGCGTCTCTCCCCCAGTCGCGCGAAGCAGTCGCAGTAAGCACTACCAAGCGGTCGCATCAAGCAGAGAGAGGTCTGGAGCCTGACCCCCCCCCTCCTCGCCCCCTTCTGCCCAATGTCGAAACGCCGAAGAAGAAAACGCTCACCTTCTGTGGCCGTCCTGAGGCCCGGGGAGCGACCAGAAACGATCGCGGTCGGCAGGGCCCGAAACGAGACTGGACGAAGAAGAAAAAGGACGGGCACGGCACCCCGCTCCTGTGCATGTCATACTGCCCGGCTCGTTGACCTCCTGTGGCCGTCCTGAGGCCAGAGAACGACAGGCGTCGGAAAGAATTCGGCATCAATCGCGCGTAACATATGGTGTGAACTCTCCCCCCTCTCCCCCCGAATGCAATGTTGGGCTCGGATCTCCCGAGCTGGAGTTTCGGACCAGTGGTGCGGACACGTGCCAACTTTGAAATGCGGGGGGAAGGGGGAATGTTGCTGAATTTGTTCCCTCAACCGGACCACAAACGATCGCGGTCGGTGGGTCCCGAAACGAGACTGGACGAAGAGGGAAAAGGAGAACGGGCTGCATCAGCATAAACTTTCGGAGGTCCGCGCGGATTTGTTGGATCGGCGCTGGGACCCCCCGGCGGTGCTCGCGCGCGGACCTTCGAAAGTTCATCGCACCAGCTATCCAGGCCAGGAGAGCTTTTTGTGTGTCTCAGGCCAGGCTCTCGAGCAGGCAGGGCGGCATTCGCTGAACTCGGAGGGGGAGAGGGAGGGACGAACGCCGACACGGCACAGACACACACACACACACACACACACACACAACACACACACGGCGAACGAGGAGGAGAGAGGAGAAACCCACACAACCCTTGCGGGCTCCTGGCAACAGCCGCTGATTAATGTAATATCTGACGCAGGCGGCAGAGGCGATTAGAATCAATACTGTTCTTCAGTGCTCGGGCAAAGGCGTGGCAAAACCGAACAGGGTAGGGCTCCGCAACTTTTGTCCACAATTTGCCCGAGCTCTGGTCGACTCCAGTCAGCACAATGTGGGGCTTATTCGAGTGACTGCAGATGCCTCCCCTCCCTCCGCAGAGTGGAGGGAGGGATATAGAGAACGATGGAGCCCAGACCTGGACCCGGGTCCGCTTGCGCCACCTGGCGCCAAACCCACAGTAGTCCGTCGTGCAATTGTGGCTGGTCTGGTCTTTAAAGAGCCGCTGAAGCGAGGGGACCTGCCACATCCAGCTGGACCCAGGGCTCTCAAGGGCAACTGGGGTGCCCACTCGGATGCAGGCGCGGATGACTCGCAGGCACTTAAGCTGGAGTTGCCCCGCTTGCAGGCCTTAGAGGCCCGAGGGGCGAGGTTAGGGAGGCCCCAGAGGTGGGCGGAGTCGCGGAGGCGGCACCAACTTGAACCCGGAGGCCCGTGGCGCGCCTGGGACCAGGTGCAACAGGGAGTCCCAAGCCACACTGATACTGCAACACCACTGGAGATCCAGCCCAGGATAGTGGACTGGACCACGGGGCGATTCAGATCAAACCAAGGCTGACTGATTATATCTGCTGATACAACACCAAACCCTAGAGAACGCATGGCCTTGGACAGGCCGGCTTCGCCGGCGAACAGCTCGAGAAAAACCTGTTTTTTGCTCACGGAGCTGCTGCGAAGTGCCTGCCTGAGCACACGCCGCAGCCGGGCCCGCACCTCCAGGTCGCTCAGGGCCGCGGCGGAACTGGAGGGAGCGGCCGTCCGAGGAGGAACGCGCTCTCGAGGCCCTCCGAGACGCGGCGGCCGTACTCCACGATCGCCGCCGGGGCTTTGTGGAGCTCGGCGAGCGCCCGAGCCTCCTTGCCGTACCGTTTGAGCATCGAGTCGCTGCGCCAGCGGCCCCGACCCTTGACCTCCAGGACGCTCCGCGACTTCAGCAGGAGGTCGTGCGAGGCGCCGCCGTGCCGGAGGCCGTAGGCGGTGATGCCCATCGCGCTGAGCCACAGCGCCGCGGCCGACGCCTGCAGCTGCCCCGACAGGTCGCCTGGCGGGAAGCTCCAGAGCCGTTGATCTGCTCGTCGGCAGCGCGCCTTCAGGGCCAGCAGCGACTGGTGCAGGAAGCCGAAGTCGCCCAGCACCACGCTCTCGTCGTAGGCCCCCACCTTCGTCGGCTTCTCGAGCTCGGTGGGGCCCAGCAGCAGGGCCCAGTGGGCGGCAGTTGCTCCTGCAGCCGCCACTGGAGGGACCAGCTGCATCGACGTCAGCGTGTCGCACTCCCCTCCCCGGGCCTGAGGTACGCGTGGGACGAGATCAGGGTGGCGATCGCGTGCTCGATCAGGTCGTTGGCGAGCATGTGCCCCGCCAGCGCGGCTACCAGCACCCAGGGAACTGGAAGGCGGGTCTTCCGGGGCACTACCTTGCCCCAGCCCGCCAGCGCCCGGCTGGCCCGGGGCAAGCTGAGGTGGCCGTAGCGGCCGACCTCGGGGTAGTAGAACTTCACCGCCGCTAGGGTCTTGCTCGCCACGCCCCCGGCGCACCCCAGGAAGAAGAGCTTGTCCATGTAGAGCGCCAGCCCTAGGTCGAGGCCGCAGTGCGAGTCCCACTCGACCTTCGACTCGACCGCCCACTCCAGGAACGCGCGAACCTTCGTGAAGTAGTCCTTCTGCGTCGGGCTGGCGATCGAGCGGCTCTCCAGGTAGGTGAGCTGGAACGAGGCCGGGGGGAGCTCCGAGCTGGGCGATGATCGCTGGCATCGGGTCCTCCTCGCCCGCGCAGCCGTCGCAGAAGGAGCCGCCAGGTGGGCCATCCAGCCCCCCGCCGCCGCCGCCAGGGCCCTGGCCTCGCAGGGGGCTGACCGCCTCGAGGTCGGGGAAGCGTGGGGCGACAGGAAGGACAGGGCAAGGACTAGCATCACCAGGAACTGGGTCGGTGGCCGCAGCGACGCTGTCGGGCCTGCCCTGCTCCTTGATGTAGTAGCAGCCTCTGGACGGAGCATCTGAGGGGTTCCTCTCTGACGGGACCCAGCGAACACCTAAGTCCAGGCGGCAGCCGAGAGTCAAAGCGCAAACCTCTCGAAGGACGTCCCGAATCTGGAAGGCGGCGGAGCGGCCCTCACCCACGGCCAAGGCGAGGCCCATGTCGTCGACGAGGGCCAGGATTCGAGTCCCGAGCGCCTTTCGGTCCCGAAGGGTGCGCCGGAGGGCGTTCGACAGGGCGAGGCCCTCGAGGCGAAAGATGTTCGCTGGAGCCCGCCAGGGGAAGGACTCCACGATGTGCCAAGCCTCGGGGTCCGTGAAGGACGGGTCCACCATGTCGTAGGCCCTCCTGTACTCGTCGGCCTGGCGCAGACTGTCGGGCAGGTCGTCCTCCACCACTGCGTCGTGCAGCTCGAAGGCGTGCGCCCGCGCGGCGGCCGCTCCCTGCTTGTAGCGCCACTTCTCAGCCGCGCGGCCCCAGCGGCCAACCAGCTCGGGGGGCGCAGCCCGCACGCAGACGCCGCAGCCCCAGTGGGAGGCGTCCGAGGCCGTCACGTTGGGGTACCACTCGGCGTCGGTGTGCGCCACGAAGAGCGGGAGGAGGTTCCTGACCTGTCGGAGCTCCCACGCCACGGAGTCCCAGATCGCGCCGACCTGGTGCTGGTGGACCTTGATGAAGGCGCGGACGGTGTTGAGGATCGAGAGGGTCGACCGCTGCAGCAGCATGATCCAGGTAGCGTGCCCGAGGACCACCTCCAGGACGTGACCAGAGCAGCGGCCACGCGCAAGCAGCTCCTCGATCGCGAGCCGCAGGCGCCACATCCGCCTAGTGGCCACCCGCGCGGTGTGAGCCTTCCCGTCGAAGTAGAGGCCCACGAAGTCGGTCGCGCAGACGGGCTCGGCGGTGTTCTCGTGAACCAAGAAGCCCTGGTCGTCGAAACTGGTCGTCACCCGCCTGCCCGCGGCGGCCACCCGGCTGCAGGGGGTGCCAAGCACCGCGAAGTTGTCGACGTAGCCTGCCGCCTGCAGCGGACGGGTCGGCCCGAGGGGGCTGGCTGCGGCTCGGTCCTTGGCTAGGACGTCCGCGTTGAGCCCACCCCGAGCCAGGCCCTCCTCGGTGACCAGCTGGCAGAGGTGAAGCGCCCAGCTCCAGCCCATCGGCAGCACCGTCAGCACGGGGGTGAGGAGAGTGGCGGCCGAGGGCCGCTCACCACCAACCTCATGGCGGCCGAGGGCGCCTGCTCGAACCGGGGGTAGCCTGAAGTATGACCCCAGCTCTGGAGGCACAGCGATGGCGTAGAAAGCGTCCTGGATGTCGCCGACCGAGTACCAGACCACGTCGCACTCGCTGGTCTCCATCTTCGCGAAGGCCGAGGCTGAGGGCAGGTGTGTCGACGGCGGCGGCTCGAAGCCGCAGTTGGCGAGACGAGTGTCGAAAATGATGCGCTGCTGGCCAGATTTCTTCTTGACAAAGGACAAGCCCACGGTCGCGCCTGCCGTCATGGGCTCGAGGCGCGCCATTCCGCGATCCAGCATCCCCTTGACGAAGTCGGCGTAGACGCGCTGGTTGCGGAAGGCGGGGTCGACGTAGGGGCGGAGAAGTCCGAGCTCAGACCGAATGGCAGCCGCTGCCGCCGGAGGTCGTCGCATCTTGGCCGTCAGGTCCCTCAACCAAGAAGGGTGAGACTTGCGCGGGGGCGGGCGGCGCGGCCGCCGGGCAGCTCCGCGCCGGCGGAGCGGGCGCCGGTGCCGCCCGCGGCGGCTCCGGCACGGGCAGCGCCGCAGGCAGCGGCGCCCACCGCCGCGCCACCCAGGCGGCGAGGAGGTGGAACGCGATCAGCCCTCCCCCGCGGGCAGCAGCGCGCATGCGGGCCCCGAAGGGGGCTCGGCCACCTGAGGGCCTCACAGACAAGGCTTGAGCCGGGGCGGTTTCGGAGAACCCGCGCGGCCTTCAACGCCCCAGCGATTATCGTTCGAGAACAGGCCATGCTTACGCATTCTTGCAATTCATCGAGGGAAGGGTCATCGATCAGAGCAATCTTGAACAGGGACCGACCGTCCAGGGATGCCTATAGGCCTTCCGCGACATGTTCTCGGATCAAAATCATGTTCTACTAACCAAGGCACTGCTCTCAGAACACAAGCCCGATGCACTAAAAAAAGACAGTCTCAGCCAGAAATAATCTAAGAACATACAGTGCGGGCGCGGCCGCAAGAAACCCTCGCAAGAAACCCAAACCTGCACACCCGTGCGCGAAGTGCACTGGAGGGGAAGCCCGGAGCACCCTGAGCGCAGCAGCTCCGTCAACGGCCGCGAGAAGTCGCCGCGCAGCGCGCGGAACGAAGAAACCCAGGATACCCTGCTGAAAATCCTGTGGCTTCTTGATGCGCGCCCCCACTGCATCGTGCAAACCAGCGCAGATTATCTTTAGTGGCACGCCGCGCCACTGCGTGACCGATCGGACACGACAAGAACATGAGCCCGATGCATGGAAAAAAGACGGCCTCAGTCAGAAATGTTCTAAGAGCACATCGTGCAAACCAAGGAGGTGGTGGAAGAAAAATACAAAAAAGAGGGAGAGGAGGAGGAGGAAGAGGAGGAGGAGGAGGAGAAAAAAAATAAAAAAGAAGGAGGAGAAGGAAGTTATCTTTGGTGGCACGCCGCACCATTGCGCGACCCATCGGAGACGACACGAGAAACGGGGCAAGGAGCCCTGGAGAAAGGAACCTCTGTGGCCGATACCGCGCAGCGCAGTTACCTCCGCACCCTTGGCGGGCGACCTAGCTGAATGCTGCTGCCTGCTTGAGGCATGCGCGCTGCTGCCATCACATCACAGTTGTGTGCCGATGTACGCGGTGCGTCGGCACATCTCATCACATCTCATTCGCACCTCAGCCTGGCGAACGAACAGCCAGTGTGGCGCCAAACGTCTGCTCGACGAGGGCCGTCGCCGAGGACGGTCGATGCTCACGCCGACGACATAGACATCACCAAGACGGCGACGACAGCCGCGCAAGCAGAAAGAGGGAGCGGAGGCGCGCCCCCTGTACGACGACTCGTCCTCCCGGTTCTCGCCGAAGCACTTGCGGGAGAAGCCGACGATGGTGTGGGCGATGGCGCTCGCGCACTGCTCCTGCCCGGCGGTGCCCATTAGCAGGAGGAGGAGGAGGAGGAGGACGACGACGACGAGGAGGACGAGGAGGAGGAGGAGGAGGAGGAGGAGGAGGAGGGGGGCAATTTTGGTCCTTCGAAGTCCAAGGGGCATCTGGAGGTCGCGCTGGGCAGAATGGCTTCGCGCTTGCACTGTGGAGTCCACGGAGCCTCCTAGGGATGCCCCCGGAGGTGACCACACAGGAAAAGCATGCTGTCCTCTGTGATTAGCGCCGTTTCGCAAATTTCGGCTTACGATGGGCCCGGGAGCTTCAAGGCGGTCCCGAGATCGCCCAAGGAAGCCTCAAGAGGGGCCCAAAGAGCGCCCACGAGAGCTCGAGGAGGGCGCCAAGAGCTTTCTCGGGTTCCACCAGGCAACCAACCCTTCAGGTGATGCCAAGAGGACCTGAGAGGCTCCGGAAAGAGCCCTGAGAGAGATCCAAGTTCCCAGAAGCTCCCAAGATGGCCCTAGGATAGCCCCACGATGGCTTGAAGAGCCCTCCAAGTGGCTCTCAGAGGGCTCGAAGTTCCTTCTTATGAGGTTTGCTTTGCCTGATCCCTCCTTTGACTTGACATTTGCCTCCTCCTATTTTTTTCACCAGTGCCCTTCTCAGGACGACTCGCGCGGGCCCCGTTTCCGAATGGGTTGGTGGGGATACTCTGATTCGAGCTGTGACCTTACTTTCGCACTTCGCATGCGCATTCTGGACGTGCGGCAAGCACCTGGACCCCAAATCCATGACAATCCCTCGTGGCCAGAAACGGAAAAGAGCACCCGCGCTCTCACTCAACAATCTGCGCTCGAGCCTCCTTCCCCAGCGGTACCTCGGGGTGTTTGGTGGCGTCCGGAGGTCCCAGCAAGGGCCCGCAAAGGCGCAGCACCTCGGTCCTCGACCCTGGGCCCTCGATGCTCGAGCTACGGCCCTCGAGCTCCGCAGTTGCACTCCAGATTCGCACTGGGCGCCTGCACCATGGCCGTGGGTGGGAAGCGCATCCACATCCACGGCCTCGCGGTCCAAACTCATCGGCCGCGAACCCATGGATCCCGGGCGACTTTGCGCAGATGCCCCGTGCTGCCCTGGCCGCCCGAGTCTTCCCCGAAGAGCGACCCGAATCCCCGGATCGTCCGGGCCCCCGAATTCCAGGAGGGAGGGAGGGAGAGGGGGAGGAGAGAAGGAGGAGGAGGAGGAGGAGGAGGAGGAGGAGGAGGAGGAGGAGGAGGAAGAGGAGAAGGAGTAGGAGGACGATCTAGGAGGGGTGGAGAGAGGAGGAGGATCAGGAGGAGGAAGGAGGGAGCAGGAGAGGGGGGAGCAGGAGGAGGAAGGAGGAGGAGAAGGAGGAGGAGGATCAGGAGGAGGAGGAGGCGGAGGAGGATCAGAAGCAGGAGGAGGAGGAGGAGGCGGGAGGATGAGGAGGAGGCGGAGGAGGATCAGGAGCAGGAAGAGGAGGAGGAGGAGGAGGAGGAGGAGGAGGAGGAGAAGCGGGGAGGAGGAGGAGGAGGAGAAGGAGGAGCAGGGAGGAGGGATGTCGCAGGCCCACGCGGCAGAACAGAACGTAGCGCTCAACGAGCGTGTGCGGGGAAACAGAAGACTCGAACATCTGCCTGGCAAACTTCCCCCCATCAGTCTCGCCCAGCAAGCTGGACGCTGGGAACCCAACCATGCCCTGACCAACTGGCCAACAACATGGGCACGTGCCAACATGCATAACGCAGGCACAAGCTGGGACCAAACCTCCGTCTTAGTCTTCCTTTCCCTGGCTAGCTCCCAATAGCGCCAGCAACGCTGTGCCTTAGGGAGGACACCAAGCAAACGAGGCGAGCCACCAAGGACCGCCCTACACCCCGCGCCAAAATGGCGCAAGGAGTTTCCGGAACGGCACCCCTGGGACGAAGACACGAAGCGTTGCTTAGCGCCTGAACCCCGCCAGGCACGGTGACCACGTGCCCGCGGCAGAGGGCGCTGCCACCAAGAGGTTGCCGGCCGAGAGACGCGGCCCCCAATCCGCCTCCGTAGCGTCACTGGCGGTACACCTCGTAGGTCGCCGAGAGTGGCCGCCGCACTGAAGCGCGGCTGAAACCAGGCGGACCTGTCCAGCAGCACCGAGAAAGATCTCACCGTGGCTCCAGCGGCCCTCTTCTCCCGCCCCGATCCTCCTCCTCCTCCTCCTCCTCCTCCTCCTCCTCCTCCTCCTCCTCCTCCTCCTGTCCTCCTCCTCCTCCTCCTTCCCTGCTCCGCCTCCTCCTCCTCCTCCTCACTCCTCCTCCTCCTCCATCCTCTTCCTCCTCCTCCTCCTCCTCCTCCTCCTCCTCCTCCTCCTCCTCCTCCTCCTCCTCCTCCCTGCTCCGCATCCTCCTCCCCTCTTCCTTCTTCTCCTCCTCCCCCTCCTCCTCCTCCTCCTCGCCTCCCCTCCTCCTCCTCCTCTCCTCCTCCTCCTCTCTTTGTCCTCCTCCTCCTCCTGCTTTTTCCTCCTCCTCCTCCTCCTCCTCTCCTCCTCCTCCTCCCTCCTCCTCCTATCTCCGCTCCTACTCCTCCTCCTCCTCCTCCTCCTCCCCGAATTGCGCTCTCCGCTCCCTCCTTTTGTCCTCTCTCTCTCTCTCTCTCTTTCTCTTTCACCTGCTCTCTCTGCTCCCTCTTCCGTCCTCCCTCTGCGCTCCTCCCCCTGCCCCTCCCCCTCCCTCCCTCCCTCCTCCCCACATCCTCCCTGCTCCGATCCTTCTCCCGTCTCTTCCTCCCTCCCTCCTGCCTCGTTCATTACAACTTGAGTAGCAGCTGCCCTCCTTGGACATGCCAGCACTGCAGGCCGAACCCAATTGGCTCGTCGCTGGTGTGCTCCAGGAGTACGCATCTGCCAACGCAGCTCCGCCAAACAGCGCCACGATCGCCACCTTCCAAATAAGTAGGATGAGGGACATTGCACAGCGCAGCGAAAGAAACAAGTGCATGCGCACACGCAGACACACGAAGCCGTACACACGCATCACGATTGAAATTGCATGTGCACGAACATCATCGCTGCATCACTCGCGTGTATAACTCGGCACTGGCTCACATCCACAGTGTAACTCCATCGAGCCTGCGTGAGCTATGCCGACGCATCTAGCAGACAGCGGCATCGGCACTGCCAGCGATAGGAGCTGGGATGCTCACGCTGCTGCTTATGCTTATGTCGCGAGTCGCTGTGGGGCATACGCCATTGCCCGTTACGGAACGCCGTGCTCCGTACGTGCTTTCGCAGAGGGTGTGCCAAAGCACTCTTGCCTCAACGGCCTGCGAATGGCCTCCCTGGCTGGCCGCCCCGCGCGCGGAAACGGGGCAAAGGGTGGCGGCGACCCCGCCCCCGAGCGGGCGGGACGGGGGCAGCAGCCGCGAGGCTCCCGACTGGCAGAGCCAGCGCCGCGATAAGGGGAGCTCCGGAGCGGCCGGCGGGGGGAAAGGGGCGGAGGCGGGAGCGCCAGCCGGCGCGTCCCGCGGGGCCAGTGCGACCGCCGTAGGGGGTCCACCCTGCTCCTCCGCCTCCTCCTCCTCCTCCTCCTCCTCCTCCTCCTCCTCCTCCTCCTCCTCCAAGCTGCCAGCTCGGCCCGATTTGGGTTGCCGAGCCCGCGCCATCGGGGCTCGCGCGCCGCCAGCGGCCCTCGCGGCCGCCCTTCCTGTCCCTCGCCGCGCTTCGTCTCGCTCCCTCAGGGCCGCGATGGATCCGGAGCCCCTGCGGCGGCGTGCTCGCCGGCCGAACCGGACGGCCGCTCAGCGCCGCGCGCAATATGCGCGGGCGCAAGGCCGAGTGGCGCAGCATCTGCTGAAGGCCTTCGACGAGATCGTGGGCCACCGTGGCCAGCAGCTCACCTTCCTCGGCAAGGCGCTCCGAGAGGCGCTCGCTGGCGGCCCAGATGCAGGACCCGATGATGCTGTTGCAAGTGCTGAGCCCGCGGACGTCCCGCCACACGTTAGAGGTGGAGATGACGAGCGGGATGCACCTCTTCTTCAGCCTGGAAATGCTGAAGCCAGGGGAGATGGGGGGAGCCATAAGGGCGTTGCCCTGGCACTGACCCACCCGCCCCTGGCGACGGCTGCAGCGGCGGGGGCGGCGGCGGCGGCGTTTGCCACCACGGGCACGCAGGAGGGCGAGACCAGCATCGTGGAAATGGTCCACGCCCTCCGCGCGGAGATCGCCGCTGCAACGGGCCAGGCGGGGGCCCCCACGGCCAGCGCCGTGCATGCAGTGGAGCGTGACGACACCGAGCGTGAGGAGAAGGCGGTGGCGGCGCATGAGGTGCTGCGTGGCGTGCAGGGCGGCCATTTTGGTACTGCACGCGGCGGAAGAGGAAGAGGAGCTGCTACGGGGTCCGCGGCTTCCGCGACCGCGACCTCTCCTGCCCCAGGGGCTGCTGCTGCAAGGAGGCCACTCCCAGGCATTTCGCCGCCCACTGACGAGCAGTGCAAACAACAGTGATCGCTGAACTGGCTGTGGTACGCGTTCACCGTCGCGGCCCTCGTCGTGCTCGGTGCGGTAGAGTTCTTCATCGTCTCCTACTCCTTCCATGTGCTCGTGGTGCGCTACCATGTGCTCGCGTTCGCCGTGAAGGCCAGGGGAGAGGTAGCGGTTTGTTACATGACTTCGTCATTGGTCTCATCTCATCTCATCTCATCTCATCTCATATCCCCCTCCTCCTCCTCCCCCTCCGCCTCCGCCTCCACCTCCTCCTCCTCCTCCTCCGCCTCCTCCTCCTCGTCCTCCCTCTCCTCCTCCTCTTCTTCCTACTCCTCCTCCTCCTCCTCCTCCTCCTCCTCCTCCTCCTCCTCCTCCTCCTCGGGTCGAGCAATGGCGGCGAAGGGTGAGGTTAGGGGGGGGGGGGGGGGGGGGGCGACGCCCGACGCTGGAGAGGAGAGGCCAGCGGAGCGGAAGCAGGCGAGCGGAGGCGGGCGAGGAGGGGGGCCGCGCGCGACGGGTTGCGGGGCGCGCAGGGAGGAGCGGCGGGGAACCGACGGGGCGCCGCGGGTGGGGCGGCGACCTGGGCGGGGTGTGGACAGCCAGGACAGCGGCGGAGGCACGCAGAGCAGCAGCGTGGCGAGGCACAGGACCGAGGAGATCAGCCTGTGGTGGAGCGGATTGCGGCAACCGCAGCGGGGCGGGAGCCAGCCTCGGGGCCCTTCGCGGCCTCCGCGCTGCCCCCATGCTCGCGGCGATCGGGGCGCAGCGGGGCAAAGGGAGCAGCGGGGACCCCCGAGGCGGCCGCGCCGGCAACCTCGAGGACGAGAGAGCCCAACACGATCCTCGCAGAGGGCCCACCATGATGATGAAGCGCTTGCCGTCGCTCGGACGTCCATTTCCCGTGCATTTGTCGGTGTCGTGCGTGATTTTGTTTTGCTCGATGGTCCAGGATGGTCCTCGATGGTTCTCGCCGAGAAAAAATGCACACGTCCGAGCGATGCCGAGAGCGAGGGCGCGAGGAAAAGGGAACCGCCCTGGGAGCTCCAGCGAGGCACCGCTGCGGGCGGCCGCGGCCGTGCGCCGACGGGGCAGGGCGGCAAGCAGGGAGGAGGGCCGCAGCCCTGAGCGGCTGCAGGCATCTGGGCGGAGGCACGACCGGTGCGAGGCGGCGGGCCCGCAGGCGGCGGGCCGGCAGGACGCCGGTGCAGGGGCCCCATGCGCCACGCCCAGGGCAAGACCACCGAGCGAGGCAGCACAGCGGCGCGCGATCAGCATAGAGGGCCGGCCCTGGCGATCGAGCGCGGCCGCGGGATAGAGAGGGAGCCAGCGGCAGAGGGGCCGGCGATCCAGCGACCGAGCGAAGCCGCGGTGAAACGAGCGCACGGAAGGCCGCCCGTGGGCAGGCCCTCGCCAGCGGCAGGCGCGGGCGGCCAGGCAGCCGCGGCGGCGACGAGGCAGGCGCCAAGGGCGGGCGGGCCCGCACCCGAGGCAGCTGGCGAGCGCAGGGCCGGCGGCACTCCTCCGCCGAGGGGATCCGTGCCGCGAGTCGCGACGCAGGCCGCGCGAAGAGGCGGCCTCGACCTGCCTGGCCGCGGGGCCCCCCGCCAGGGGGGCGGGACGGGCGCGCCCCGATCGGGGCGACGCTGGGGGCGCGGCGCTCGTCGTCGCCAGCGCCGGGCCAGCTCTGCTAGGAAGTTCGCGCGGACCACGCTCACCTCGCCCACTGTCGGCCACTTCCACTGAGACCCGCCGTCGGGAGCAGAGGGGCTGCCGTCTGTGCGGGGCCAGCTGGCACCGTCGAGGCCGAGGAGCCCGTGCCGGCTGCGGGGCCGGGCGGGCCCGCAGCGCCGCCCCGGACCAGGCCACGGGCGCCCCCGCGCACGGAGGGGCGCCTCGTGCTCGGGGCTGCCCGGCGTGCCGATGGGGCATGCCTCGTGCGGGCGCCTCTCCGGGGTGGTGGTGCCGGGCGATGGCTGCTAAATCCGTGGCTGCTAAGATCGACCTCCGGGAAGTTGTCTTCGTCCTTCTGGGAAGAAGCCCGTTGACTGTTTCGCGTGCCGCGCCTCATTCCGGGAAGTTGTTTTTTTCCTTCCGGGAGGGCCGTTTTAGCAGCCACGGTTTTAGCAGCCCTTGCCCAGCTTTCGAACGGGGTGGAGCGTGGGTTCTCGGTGCGGGCTGCAGCTTTTTGGGGGGACCGCGGGGGGGCCGAGCACAAGCGCGCGGGACGCTACCATCGCATCGCATTCGGCGATCGGGGGACCCCATTGGGCCCGCACCAAAGGTCACTCCGGGGAAAGGTCACTCTGAGGTCTAGCCGAACCAGGTCACCGCGCTTTCTGGGGCGTCTTCAGCCGGTGATGGTCGTCGGAGAGATGTCTTTCCTTGGGGGCCGTTTCGAGACGGACACCTGGATCGCCCAAGAACGCGCGCGATACTTGGAAACAGGGGCCGTGTGACTGTGGGCACGCTGAAAGACATACTACTCCATACAGCGAGCTCGACGAGACCTGAGGTTGCTTTCGTTTTGTTTGTTCTCATGTTGTTTTCTTTCGCTCCCGTCTGCTTCGATTGGTTATGTGTTGTTTCGCTTTCTTTCGTTTCGTCCCCCTTCGCGTCGTCTTCTTTCGTTTCGTCCTTCTTCGCTTCGTGCTCGTTCGTTTCGTGTTGTTTCGTTTCGTTCGTCGGTTTCTCCTTTCGTTTCGCCTTATTTCGTGTCGCCCTATTTCGTGTCGTCCTCTTTCGTTCCGACTTATTTCGTTTCGTCTTTTGTCGTCTCGTCCGCTGTCGTTTCGTCCTTATTCGTTCCGTTATCCCTCGTTTCGTCCTCTTGCGTTTCGTACCTGTTCGTTTCGCCCTCTTTCGCTTCGCTCTCTTTCGTTTCGTTCTCTATCGGTTCGTCCTGTGCCGTTTCGTCTTCTATCGTTTCGTCCTCTTTCGTTTCGCCCTCTTTCGCTTCGCTTTCTGTCGTTTCGTGTTGCGTCGCCTCGTCCGCTCAGAACGCGCGCGGGGCGGACCGGCGCGCGCGGAGCAGACGACCTGGAACCGCGGAAACGGACGACTTGAAACCGGACGAATCGAAACCGGACGACATGAAGCCCAGACGATCGAAACCCAGACGAATTGAAACCTAGACGATCGAAACCCAGACGATCGAAACCCAGACGAATCGAAACTGGGCGACACGAAGCCTGGACGATCGAAGCCCAGACGACTTGGAACCGGACGAATCGAATCGAGCAGGACGAGCCGAGCAGGCCGTATCGCACCAGACGAATCGGACAGGACGAGTCGGACTGGACGAAATGAACGTCGGGCGACATGAAGGGAATCCTGTTAAGGACCCCTTGGGTTAAGTCGGGCCTGTCCCCCTACAGGAGGACTTTCGACGAAAAATGAAAAATACCCCCCAAATAATCAACAAATAATCCAAAAATAATCCGGGGACTATTTTTTGAGTATTGTTTGGCCTTTTTGGGCGTATTTTGAAATATTTTCATTTTTCGTCGAAAATATCCCTGTAGGGGGACGCGCCCGCCAGAACCCTTGGGCTGTCTTGGAGGCCCTGGGCCCCAGCCCAGGAGGCCCAAAGCACCGACCGCGACTGAACTGCTGCACGAGTTTCGCAGGCTCTCTTCCTGGTTTCCGAGGCGTCCCAGACGGCCCCACGAGAGGCACGCGTGGCGTGGCTCTTGCACAAAAGTAAGGGGGAAGGAAGAGGAGGAGGAGGAGGGGAAGGAGGAGGAAGAGGAGGAGGAGGAGGAGGAGGAGGAGGAGGAGCAGGAGGAAGAGAAGGAGGAGGAGGAGGAGGAGGAGGAGGAGGAGGAGGAGGAGGAGGAGGAGGAGGAGGAGGAGGATTTTTGTTTTGCCCGAGGGGCTCCAGCCGCGTCTGGCCAGCAGTTCAGGCCAGTCCAAAAGGGAGAAGCAGCGGCGGCGACGGCTGCACCTCCTCGCAGCGCCAGCTGCAGGAGAGAGCGATTGGGGATCGCACGAACGTGCTAGACCACGGTCGGGGCAGCGCCCCCGTGGCCTAGTCTGACTCGTCCGAGACCTCCCCCCCGCTCCCCGTCGCCTCAGGCGGCGGAGGACCTCCTGCAGCTCTAAGGAGGCGCTGCACTTTCCCTTGGGACGTAGCAGCTCGAGTCGGCACAGGCCCGAGCGGCGCCACATCGTCCCCTAGTGCGTGGGCGTCCCCAGCACTCCAGAACAGCCCTCAAACCAGGAGCGGGTTGCTCTGGCACTAGGGGTGGGGCTGCACGGCTCGCTGCAGGCGAAGCAGCCATGCGATGGTGGGGCGGTGTTCGCCCGCTCTGCCTCGGGGCGCCAGGCTGGCTGGCCTCGCGAGGAGCAGAGGGTACATGCAGAGAGACGAGCGGAGCTTCATCTTCCTGTCGTTCCAGAGCGTCCTTCGCCTGAGGGCTCAAGGCCCGCACAACACCACAAGGATGGTCTGGGACGACCGAAGGGGCTTCACAGCTCGCGTCGGCGCGAGGAACGGCAGAGGACTCGCTGTCGGCAGCGGCCTATTCCAACACTAAACTGCCAAGAAGGGGGCTAGCTCGAGTCGGCTCGAGCCTCGCAACAGGCATTGTCGCAGTACGCAGCGGTGGCGATGTTCGCCCCATCCGATGCGAGGCGCCAGGTTGGCAAGCCCCAGGCAAAGGGCCAGACTGCACAGAGCGAACTACTAGCGGAGATTCGTCCTCCTGTCGGTCCAGAGCACCCTCCTCCCGAGAGCCTAAAGCTCGCACAACACTGACAGGATGCTCTGGCACGGCAGGTGGGGCAGTGCAGCTGGCGAGGTCGAGAGGGCTGATTTCTGCCTTGCTGTCGGCAGCTTGTACCTCGACTGGTGCTGGACTACGTTTGACTGCGCCGTCGTCGCCCGAGGCTGTGGCATCGGCAAGCGGGTGCTGAACGCAATCTCCTGGGGCGTCGTCCTCAGGAGCCTCGATGACAACTTTGATCCCGTCTTTGCCGTGCTGCGGGTGAATACCTCGGAGGACGCAATTCCACTTCCACTGCTGTCGGGTGTCGCGAAATCCTTTGCACCGAAGTCTGTGCAGGTTGGACTTCTGCGGTGTGCCAGTGGATACAAAAGGCGCACGATGCAAGCAAATAAACAAGTGCGCGCTGTCGGAACACGAGAAACAGACGATGCTGTGGCGCTGACTCGCCACACGCTCTAGATCCAGGCCAAGAATAATCCCCAGACACCTCCTGGGCGGGGGCCTGGGCGCACTCGTGAGACAGGTCGAAAAATCTGAACGCCTCGAAGCTTGGCAACACTTCAAGCATCGCCACAGGCCAGCGATCCACAAGAAGTTGCACTCCTCAGGGGCATCTCTGCCCGCGGCGTCCTTTCACATCGGTATGTACTCCACCTCGCCATCCGCCTTGAGGGACGGGAACAAAGGTAAAACCTCCATGGCGAGGCGGCAGAATGCAGAGACGAATTCGACTTGCTCATCAATCGCGGCAAGGGCCTCGTCGTCACGCTCGTGTAGTGCAAGGGCGGCATTCGCTCCTCGGTCGGCGAAGTCGTTACCAATCCTCACAAACCGTTCGTGGTCTGTGAGGCTGTCATCAGTTAGAGATTGATGCGCCTTGACCTTATAAAGTTCAGAGATGAGCCTGGCCCCTTCATAGCTATGCGCCTGGAGGGTGTGGCCAGCATAAACGTTGCGGAAATTGACACGGCCCGCGTGGCTCGACATAAACTGCGAAATCACATTCTGGCAATCCGAATACACCTCCGAGGGACTCACGGTGCACATCGTGGCCGCAGTGAGTGTGCAAAATTCGGCACACTGAGGGGTCTACGGGAGAGGCGCGTGCACGGGGCCTCTGATCTCGCACTGGAGCTGGTCACCTTTTAAGCCACAGAGGGCCCAGACAGCTCGACTTAAATATTTAATGACGTGGCGGCTGCATGACCCATCCACAAAAATCTGCCCCTGGATTTGGGCCCTGTCCAGGGGAGGGTCAACAAACCAGTCGGCCTCCAGGGAACCAGACGCACACGGGCTGGGGTAGTCTTCTCCTGGGTGCGGCAGCCCCCCTCTGGTGACAGCGAAAAGCAAGTGCTTGTGATCGACGAAACTGCCGACGCTGTCTAAAATCTTACGGTCAACCGTGTCCTCTCTAATTTCCTGAACAGCAGGGCATTTCCAGATACGATGAAATAGAGTATCTCGGTGACCACAACCCAGTGGGCAGAGCTCCGAGTGCAAGTACCCCTTGGAGATCGCGTAGGCCCTGGTCCACAAAGCCCCCGTACAGACTGTCCTGAGGGTACTTTTTTTCCAGGGGCGTGCATTTCTTGGAACCGAAGTGTCTGGGAACAACGTCGAAACAAGCCCTCTGGCGGAAACCAACTTTCATGCCTATGTCCTCCTCGAGCCGTCGAAAGACAACCTCGCGGAGCATCACCTTCAACATGCCAGGCGACTGCAGCGTCAAGGAAATCTCGTGACCTTGATCACTAACCAGGGCACAAAAGTCGGGCATGGTCCAGCGGATGCGCTCGAAGGATTTTCTCATGGCCATCCCTGGGCCGCTGACACTACGCCAGGCCCGAAGCGCCCTGGAAAATACGGCTTCCCAGGACTCACGGAGGCTGCTAAAAGGCAGGGTGGAGGGATGCACGTGGCACTTGGTGTTCCACACCTCTTTGTGCCACCTAAGAATAGGCGCAACTTGAACGACCCAGGTAGGATCACGCCCCCAAAGCATCAGAATCGACCAGCTTCTGTCCCCAGCCGATGGCTTGAGGACGGAGGCGAAGGACCTCCTGAGGCCCAGGGGCTCGGCGTCCGAGACGCCAAAAACCTCGGCCCCGCAGGAGGCCGCAGGCAGCGGGCCCGAGACCCAGATGTTTCGGGCCCGTCGACCCATTTGGCGCGTGAGCTTATCTAGGCGACGGGCACGCATCTTCGCCCTAGCCCGTCGCTTCTTGGCCTTGGTGTCGCGCCCGCGGTGCCTTAATGGCGTACCGACTGCGTCGTCGACGCCTAAGTTCGGGGCGGCAGGAACGATGGGACCCGTGAGCGAGGGGCCCAGTCGCTTTTGAATGTCTTGACCCAGGGCTTTGTTAGACACAGTAAGAACAGCTTTGTCCTCGGAGAGCGACGCGCCGATATGTTCGCTGATCACTCGCACAAGTTGTTCGGAGCCTTGGGCCACCCCTTCCAAGACTTCTTGAAACTCCCCTACAGCGTGGATGCCATTGTCATCCACGTAGAGGCTGTGGTCCACGCACGGGTGCCAGACTATCGAGTCCAGCCCCTCCAGTGAGTTCACCCTGATGAAAGTGGTGGCGAAGGGGCAGCCCGCCACGAGGCCCTTGTTGGTCCACATCGCGATGGTGGTCGCGCCGTGGAGACTGAGGTGCCGAGGGCCGCGGTAGCCCTGGCATGCCAGGCGTGCCACATTGAGGGGGAAACCCAGCCTGTCGCATCGCGCAAGCACCTGGTCAATTGACAAAGTTTCGTAGTACTTGTAGAAGTCCCACAGGAGCGTGACCGCACACTGTCCTCTGTCCTCTGGCGATTCCAGCTTCGCTAAGCAGGGATTGCCTCCAGACCGTGTCCGCCGCTCCCATGCACTTCCCAGCCGCGAACCAAGGCCGTCGGTTATTATTGTCCCAGGTCACGGCAACAGGTCTCCTAAGCCGCCCCCAGAGGCGGAAAGGGGCCAAAAAACAATCCCGATGGGGCGAAAACCTCCGACGGGCTTGGGGAGAAGCATCATCATAATGCTGTGCACTTGCTCAGGGATGAGGGGGGAGATTTCCCTGATCCTGAATATATCCAGGAGAGTCCAGAGGGAATCGTCCGAGAGCCAAGAAAAGCGTCTCATGTGGAAGCCGTCCGTGCTGACAGCAGCCCTGGTTTTATAGCGCCGACTCGCAGCGCGGACCTCGTCGAAGTCGGGGGTCTCCAGGGGCTCCAAGGGGGCAAAATCGGGAGGAGGGGGAGGAGGGGCGATCGAGGCTCGCCAAAAGCCTTGAAACTTGATCGCCTCTGAGGCGGGCACGGAGAGAGGGTCGCTGACAACCGAAAAATCGTCGGTCAGGTCGGCCGTGGCCGCCCAGGCTTTGGGGGTGTCCGTGACCTGGTGAACCCTGCGCGCACCTTGTTCAACCAATCGTTCCATGAAGATCTCCCCCTAGCCTGGGCGGCCTGACTCGCTTGAACGACAGCGTCCAACGCTCGGCCGAGTAGCTCCTTAGTTGTCTGCTCAGACTGCGCACTGAGGTCGGCCCCAGCAGCCAAGTCCATGGCCTCAATAAAAAGAGGGGCCAGTTCGCCCTGGCCTTTGGCAACTTGGCGGGGCACGGCCGGCAAAGCCGAGCGCGCCGCTTCGACAGCGGTCGCGTTCTTGACGGATTTCGAACACGATCCTGACAAATGGCGGGGAGGAGGAACAGAAGCCTGCAACGAATGCAGGAAGACAACGAGACGCTTGTGGAGCCAGCGCGCAGCAAACAGGTCGGGGCGCCTCGGGCCCCTCATGTCAGCGTCGATCAACTTTTTCCAAATGATCTTCGGCTTGGCCCCGCGGAGGCCTAGCCGAATGTCCTGGTTGGTGAGCCTGCAAAGCTCGATCTCAGCTTGGTCCCCCTTTTTCTGGTGGGCCCGATTGAGCCCCTCCTGCGTAGCCTGACCTTTTCCCAACTGGGCCGTCCGCAGCACCCCCTCAAGTTCAGCACGAATGTGATCGCACGCTGGCGGGGCGCATGGCGGCCCAATGCAACGATCAAGGCTGATCCGCGGGGGCTTCTGGAAAGCCATGACACGGAGGCGCGCGACGCACTGGAAAAGCTGGAGCAAAGCGGGAGCGCGAGGAGCGAGGTCCGACACCCTATCCAGATCGATGGACCGCGCAGCTTTGCTAAGGCCGTGGCGAAGGATAAAATAATCGTTAGTTCTCATACCCCCAGTAGTCGAGCAAGTAGGAGAAGGGGGGGGCATCAAAGATCCACGGGCAACTTCAAGAACATCTGAGGTGGAGAACGATGATGGCTCGAGGTTGAACCCCCCGCCGACTAGCCAAGGCAGACCAGAAGCCCCCACGTATTCACCAACACTGCGTAACACGGAAATGTTGGGCTCTGCGGGGCCCACGCCGCGCAGGAGGTAAGTGGAGACGATGGCGATGTGGCGCCCACCAGGAACCTGGATGATGCCCCCCTATGGCTCTGCCGTCAAAAAGCGTGCGGTTGTTGCCCATAGCATGAAGGCCCAGGAAATCTCTGACCAGGATGCTGACGCCACCACGGGTACCACCACTGTCCCCTGGGAGGGCTGCCGTCCAGAGAGACTTCCACCCGTGGCGAATGGCCCATGCAGAGGCCTGCGAGATGTCCTCTCGGGACCTCAAATGATGCTCCTGAAGGCAAACAACATT